GCTCCCACAGGGGGAGCTCTGCTCAGCCACAAGCCAGGCTGATGGCTGCCAGCACAGTGGTGGTGGCGGGAGCCTCTCCCGCCTCCTCAGCAGCGCTAAGGATGTCCGACTGCAGCTTCGGCCTGCTCCCCGCTGGCAAGTGGACATCCCCGAGGGCTCCCGGGCTGGCAGAGGGATGTCTGACTACCAGCTTAGGCCCGATCCCCTGGGGAGCGGGTGGACATCTCCCGAGGGGTGGACATCCCCCGAGGGGTCCCAGACTGCGAGAGGGCACAGGCTGGGCTGAGGGACCCCCCCCCGTACACAAATTTTTGTGCACCAGGCCTCTAGTTTTTAAATAAATGTCAATGGTTCATACTCTTTGACCAAGCAAGTTCCAAGAAACATTTACATGGATTGTACCCAAAGCACTGCTCATAACAGCATGAAAAAAAACGAAGAAAAATCAACATCAGAATACATCCCAGACCCTATCAAAGGGGATTAGTTAAGTCAATATTATACACCCATACAATGAATGACTGCTGGATGGCTGCCCTTTTTTTTTAAAGGACATTAGCAAAGTTAAAACAAGCAGACTGCAAATCAGTACCTGTGTCATCCTATTTATATTTTTAAAAAATATAATAGTGAATGCAATGAAAAATAATTTTTGAGGAGGGAATACCCCACAGGCAGACAACAGTGGTTATATCTGAGGGGTAAGACTTTGGAGGCCCTTTTCTCTCTGAGCAAGGGTTCTAATGCCTGCCAGAGGCCTGAACAACTCCTCCACCCCAGTCCCCATCTCTCTCTTTCAGTAGTTTTTTTTCTCAGTCTTGATTTACCCCTCTCTGGGTCTCTCATTCTCCTGCTCTTTCTGTCTTTCGGTCTTTCTCTCTTTTCTTTTATTTCTTTTCTTTTCTTTTCTTTTCTTTTCCTTTTCTTTTCTTTTCTTTCTCTCTCTCTCTCTCTCTCTCTCTCTCTCTCTGTGGGTGAGGGGGGGAGGAGGATCAGCCTCCCTCTCTCCCTCCTCCTCCCATTCTCCCTCCCCCCTCTCTCCTTCCCTCCCTCTCTCTCCCCCTTTCCTGCCAGCCCAGTCCAGTCTTGGTGGGCTCGTGGATGGCAGGGCCTACACTCAGCAATGGTGATCAGATGCCCTGGTCTCCTTGGAACAGAAGGCTCACACCCAGCTCAGGGAACTAAACCTTGGTTGGGTTTGGAATCTGAAGTTTCACCCAGGGCTACATTGAGAGACAGGCAGGATCCCCCCACCCCAAGCCACTGACCAAACCCTGGTCTGGCTGCTCTAAGCCAGAGACCCTTAGACAACTGCGCTCTGACTGATAGCCACTCACCAGCGTCCAAAGGACGTAGATGGTGAAGAGGGCAATGGTGAGGGCAATGAGCCCCACAGCCTCCAGCCGGCTGTGGAGCCGGAGGTGATCCTGGGCCCCACGCAGGCACAGCCAGCCCGAGATAGCGGCTAGAGGAGTGATGAATAGGAAACACACCATGTCACAGCACAGCGTCCGCTTCTCTGTCCGAGGCCCCGGGTCCTTCAGCCACTGCCAGGGGTAAGGAAAGGAGGGAGCTGCTGAGAGAAGCTACACACCACCCTTCAGCTATTCCAACCTAGGGATGGGGTGCAAGACCTCCAGACCCTGTGCCTCCCTCTGCCGACACCGTTTGTGACCACTGGGCCCTGCAGGACCAGCCTCCTGCCTGGCACCTCCCTCCCTCCTTTCCTTCTTACAAGTACTTAATGAGCCTAAAATAACCCAGGCACTGCTGGGCATCTTTGCCCCATTTGACAGATGGGGAAACTAAGAGGCACAGAGGGGCTGACTCATTTGTGCAAACTTGCACAACTAATTGCTCACAAAGCCAGGACTGGAAGCCAGGAAGTCTTGCTCCAGGGCCTGTGTGCCCTTGAACGTTGTGCTACACTGCCTGTCACAGATGAGTGGGCAAGAAAAATGGGCTTCACTCATGAAATTCTGATGAACAGGACAGAAAGGGTCCTTGCCCTCCAATGCTAATGGGGTGAGGTACAAAACAAGAGTGTGTGCTCAAAGAGGGGAAGGCCTTGCTGAGGAGGTGACATTGAGGACCAGATGAGCAGGAGGAGCCATGTGAAGAATGGGGAGCCAGCACTCCAGGCGGCAGGAACAGCAAATGCAAAGGCCCTGAGTTGGGAGTGTGTGACCTGGACAAAGCACAGTGGGAAGGAGGCCCATGTGGCTGGAGCATGAGGGAGAAGGGGGCTACAGGCAGGGCAAGCTCTCCTTCCACTGTTCTCCTAAGAGCCCAGTTCCCACCTGCCAGAAACCTTTCCAGAGCCCGAACCTCAGCCCACTGTCATCGCCCTGTCGCTCTCAGCAGCCCTCTGCCAAGCTGGGCAGGGAGGAGCATAAAGAGCATCCAGGTGGTCCGCAGAGCTTTAGGGAGCAGGGAGACAGCCATGCCTGGGAATGCCCTATCTCAGCCCAGACACATCCCACTCAGGCTAAATTTTAACCTCCCAGCAAGGACCACAAAACCCAGTGTGGCTGCTACCACCTCCTTCTGGGTTACTCTCCTCCTGCTTTATTTTGTTTTTATTTTTATTGATTTCAGAGAGGAAGAGAGAGGGAGAGAAACACCAATGATGAGAGAGAATCACTGATTGGCTGCCTCCTGCATGCCCCTCACTGGGGATCGAGCCCGCAACCTGGGCATGTTCCCTGGCCAATTATTGAACAGTGACCTCTTGGTTCATAGGTCAACGCTCAACCACAGAGCCATTCTGGCTGGGCTCCCCTCCTGCTTTAACTTGTTCCACTCTAGCCACTTGGGCTTTGTCAAACATACTTAGCTCTTCCTGTTTGGGGGGGCTTTGCACTTGCTGTGCCCTCTGCCAGGACTGCCCTTCCCTGGGTTCTTGGCATTGCTGGCTCCTTTTCATTCCCCAAATCTCAGGTTCAACGGTCACTTAAAGTGACCAATTTGGGGAGGGGGCACAGGGTTTGTCAGGTCTAGAACCTTAGGCCTAGTTCCCTCCCCCCATCAGTGGACTCTACCCTAGAGTGGAGGAAGGAAGGAGGTTCATCCTATAAAGAAGCTGCTTCCTCAGCCCACCAGGATCCCCCAGGCAGTTCCCTCCTCTGGACCCATGCCTGCCTTCCTCCCTTGCCCCCTCCAACTTCATGCTCCTAAGCATACCTCTGTGAGGGGCCGAGGCCGCTTCTCCACTGCAAACTCTGTGTGGCACAGCTCACAGTAGCTGGTGTTGGATGAGGAAAGCCACCTCTCCAGACAGCTCTTGTGCACAGCGCCCAGTGTGCCAGTGCAGCCACATGGAGACAGCAAGCTCTCCCCATTCGCTCCCTCATGGCAGATCCGGCAGAAGGGACCATCGCTGGACACAGAGATGGGACATGTGAGCAATGATCAGGCTTTCTGCCTATATGCCTGCTTCACTACCCATTGGATCGCAAGCTACTTGGCAAACTCCTATTTATCCTTCAACACCCAGCTCCAAATGTCCTTTCCTTTGGGAAGCCTTCCCAAATCCCATAGGTGGAGTGATGTGCTCTCTCCCCAGGGTTTCTGCAGCACTATTTTAGGCTCAGGGTGAGCATCTCTCTTTTTTAAAATTTATCTTTATTTTTATTTTTTTAAAATGTATTTTATTGATTTTTTACAGAGAGGAAGGGAGAGGGATAGAAAGTCAGAAACATCGATGAGAGAGAAACATCGACCAGCTGCCTCCTGCACACTCCCTACTGGAGATGTGCCTGCAACCAAGGTACATGCCCTTGACCGGAATCGAACCCAGGACTCCTCAGTCCCCAGGCCGATGCTCTATCCAGTGAGCCAAACCGGCTAGGGCTATTTTTGAAAATATTACAGATATCCCCCCTTTTTTCCCCATTGACCCCTTCCACCCTGCACTCGCCACCCCTCCCAGGCCTTCACCACACTGGGTGAGTATCTCTTACACCTGTCTACCCAGAGTCCACTCCTTTTCCTCCAATAACATTCTCATTGTGCAATACCACCCTGATTGTCCTGGGCAACTCCCCGATCCCGCTCTTTTTTTGTTGTTGTTAATCTTCATCTGAACATATTTTTCTATTGATTTTTAGAGAGAATGGAAGGGAGAGAAAGACAGAAACATCGATGTGAGAGAGACACATTGATTGATTGCCTCCCGCATGCGACCTGACCTGGATCGGGGAGCAAACCCACAACCCAGTTACGTGCCCTGACTGGGAATCAAACTGTGACCTCCTGATTCATAGGTTGAAGCTCAATCATTGAGTCACACCAGCCAGGTTTCATTCAATTCTTGGTCTTTAAGGACTAGGACAGAGCTGATGATACCCCTGATGACCTCAGTCCTGACCAATCAAAACACCACATGTCACCGGGCACAGGACCAACTTAGACCATGTGTGATACAATCAAAGCCACAGGGAATTAACTTTTGAAATTCTGTCGTCGTCGTCCCCCCACACCCCCTAAACTCCAGAACTACAGGCAGCATGATTGATGTAAGTCTAGAACTTCTGGTGGCAGCCTGGTCTCCACCTGGCGTCTTTGAATGATGCCAAACAGAAAAACGGAAGAAAGCAGAGCCAAAAGACAGGGAAGGACAGACTTTTTAGGAAATCAATCAGAGGCACTGGATCTAGGCATACCTGAGGACCATGCTACCTGAAAAACCTGTGTGTCCAGGGAGAAGAGCTCCTTTGCCCCTCTACCCTGTGAGCTCCGAAAACAGGCATAGAAAGCATCATAGGGGAAGTCTCAGTCGTAGCCTGGCCTCTGGGGATGCTGGTGCTTCCTGGGGCAGCTTAGGAGACTGGGGACGTGGCTTTGGTGGGCCCAGAGGCTGTCTAGCACATGAGTCATTGTTTTCCAGACATTTCTGCCCAGAAAGAACTGTGGAACATACAAAGGAGGCGGAACAAGAGAGCAGTTGTATTTTTGTGGTTTTTTTTAAATTTTTATTTATTGATTAAAAATATTTCTTTTAGTTAATTCTCATTGGAAGATATTTTTTCCATTGATTTTCGGAGAAAGCAGAAGGGAAAGAGAAAGAGAGAGAGAGAGAGAGAGAGAGAGAGAGAGAGAGACAGAGAGAGACAGAGAGAGACATTGATTGGTTGCCTCCCACATGTGCCCACCCGGGCCAGGGATCAAACCTGCAATTCAGGTATGGACCCTTGACTAGGAATCAAACCCACAACTCTTCAGTTCTCAGGTCAATGCTCTAACAACTGAGACACACTGGCCAGGGTTTATTTATTGATTTTTAGAGAGAAGAAGGAAGGGGAGAGAGGAACATTGACCTGCTGTTCCACTCATTTACGCATTCATTGGTTGAATCTTTTTTTTTTTTAAGTAGAGCTTTTTTATATATATTTTTATTGATTTCAGAAAGGAAGGGAGAGGGAGAGATACAAACATCAATGATGAGAATCATTGATCAGTTACCTCCTGCACGCCCCCTACTGGGGATCGAGCCCACAACCCAGGCTTGTGCCCTTGACCAGAATTGAACCCAAGACCCCTTCAGTCCACAGGCCGATGCTCTATCCACTGAGTCAAACCAGCGAGGGCCATTGGTTGATTCTTGTATGTGCCCTGACTGAGGATCAAACCTACAAACCTTGGCATATTGGAACAACGCTCTAACCAACTGAGCTACCCAGCCAGGGCAAGAGAGCAGTTTTCCAGAAAACAACAGTTTTCCCTTGGAAACTGTTTTCCATTCTTTACTCAGCAGCTCCTGCTGGGGGGCAGGGCCTGACTGCTCTGAAACCAAAGAGCTGAGCTGACCCCTCATGTCTGCTTTCTGTCACCAGTCCTGTGCAGGGTGTTGCTTCCTCACACAGGTCAAAAGGGTACTCCTGTCTACACTCTCACTCCACACCCTGATTCACACACACACACACACACACACACACACACACACACACACACACAAAGTTCACAGGAAAGGAACCCCAGTTCTGGAACCCAGCCTGGGATGAGAACCTTGAGGAAGAGCCCCATCAGTTTAGGGTTGTCCTGGGAAACCCTACTTTGGAGGATCAAGTTCAGAGAGAAAAACAAAACAAAAACAGATTTATGATTGAGTACTTATGTACTGAGCACTGTTTGAAGTTCAACATCTTGGATTAATTTGTCTCGTTCCCACAGGAGACATGGAGGAAGGCACCCCCATTTTAGAGATGGGGAAACTGGAACTTCAAGGGATAAACTCAATTATGCAAACAATCACAGCTAGTCATCTGCAAAGCTGGGGTTTGAATCCAGGAAATCTTGCTCCAGGGCCTGTGTACCCTTGGCCACTATGCTACATATATTGCCTGCCACAGATGGTGGGGCAAGAGAAATAGACTTCACTCAGGAAAATAATGCACATAATACAAATGGAAAGGAAATGGAGTGGGGAAGTTGGTAATATATGTACAGATGCCCAGTGGGCTGCCCAGAGAATGTCCCAAGAGCAAGAGGAGAAGGAGAGTGTGACCAAGGAAGAAAACGAAGAGGCAGTAGTAGAAAGCCAGGGAATGCAGAAATGCTCTGGGAAGTTTCTAGAAGGGCCCGGGCCCACTTACAGCCTGGTGGGCAGAGCACTGAAGGCTCAGGGGCTAGAGGGGCCCCAGATGCTCGCCCCAAGCCTGAGCCTTTGTGGATTGTGCTGGGCCCTGGAGACACCACCTGGGCCTTCAACTTTGTCCTCTGCAGGTTTAAGGGTCCAGAACTTTCCGCCTCACCTAGTTTCTGCCATGGTCCCCCAGGAATCAGGGTCTCCCTTGAAGCAAAATGAAAGGCTTGATTATTATGAAGGCATTGGATATTATATCTTTGAGCCCCACCCCACTGCTCTCAGATGACAGAGGGTGGCTAGGAGGAGGAATTACAGGGGAAAGGAGAGGGCAGGCGAATGGTGACCTGGTTGCACGGCCTATTCCAATCCCCAGAACCTGCTGGCAGTGGTGGGAGGATCCTCATTTATTCCTGGGAGACTGGCCAGGAGGCTGGAGGGAAAGTCACATCTCAGGATGATAACAGCTCTTTGGAAAAACAGCCCCTCTGGGAAGGGCCAATCTGCCCTCGCCTTCAGCCTGGACAGGATTGAGTTGCATCAAGAAACAGAGGGGAGAGGAGAAACCAAGATGGCGGCATAGTTAAACACCGGAAATTGCTGCCTCGCACAACCACTTCAAAAATACAACTAAAAGACAAAACGGACATCATCCAGAACCATAGGAAGGCTGGCTGAGTGGAAATTCTACAACTAGAAGGAAAGAGAAAAGCACACTGAGACTCAGAGGAGGTGCGGAAGTAAAGTGCAGAGGTACGGAGG